CGGGAGGGACGCGCCGGCGGGCCCGGGAGCCTGTGTGCGGTCGGCCGGGAGCTCCCTCCTCCCGCCTCCCTTCGCTGGATACCGAGCTCGCAGCAGGGAAGTCAGTTTGTGGAGTTGGTCTGCTTCTTGGACCCTGGAGATGAAACTGGGATGAAATTCTTGCCCTGTGTTTGGCCACGTCCTGTTTAAACCTTTTTCTTGTTATTTTGGTTTTTTTTGGTTGTTTTGTTTTGTTTTGTTTGTTTTTCTTTTTTTGGAAACCAGTCTTAAATCTTGCCTATTTACTGAGTTTGGAAATCAGTGCCCAGATGTGCTCGAGGTCGTTATGGATTTGTGACTAATACAGGCCCAGGGAGTCCAGATCCCTGCTCTGCCATTCAGTTACTATATGACCTTGAATAAACAGCATGTACTTGTATGCATGACAGAGTTACGGAGCGTCTGTTTTTTCGTATGTTCCTAAAATTATGTCCGTAAGTTCCCACTTAAGTACTCAAATAAGTGGTTAGGCTTTTAAAGATACAGTTTCTTACTGATGTAAATAGCAACAAGGAGGTTCTGTTTTGTTAGTTTGCGAAGTGTGCTTTAAGTTCCTCTCAAGAAAAGAATACAAAGTCATTACCAAGTGTTCTTAGTAAAATTACTTAGTTATACTGAGAATGTAGTACTACTAACAAAACTTTTCTGAGAATTGAGTACCTCATATATATTTATAGTACAGTTTATATAGTTATTTTATAGTGCAGGTTGGCTCTGTCTGTACTGCCTAGAAAGATCCTCTATGACTTTAGAGAGGAATCTTCAGGGAGATGGTACTATGCAGAAGGAGTTAACTCATTAAGCTTGTATTTGACTAGTTTTACAAGACTTAGTTTATTTAGAAATGTATTTGCGCACTTGAATACACAGTTGAATTCCTCTTTGGAATACACACCTAATTTATCTTACTTTCTTTGGTAATGGTGTGTTCTGAATGGCTCTATACAGTGGTTTACGTACAGGTGTAACAGGTGCTTTGCTTTAGCAGTTAGGTTCACAAGGTGTTCAACTGAAAATTTCAAAGATACAGGCCTCCTAAATATAGCAACATATAGTATGTGACACATCAGAGATTGTGAGCATCTTTATATTTTTGTTGGAATTGTAATGAACAGAAAGGAGAAATTTGTTTTATATAAAAAAATCACTTATACTGTTAGTTCTCTACTGTATACATGTCTTTTTATATCTATTAGTCTGAAACCACAAGTTAGTTTAGACCCTGTAATACTTGCTAGATGAGAGCAGACCATCAGGTTCAGACTCTGAAATATGGGAAGACCTTGTTTTAAGCCTGTTCTGAAACACAGCATTTTTTTCATCCCCAGTGGCCCATGTTTTAGATTTAAGGTTGTTTTAGTCCTAGTATCCATGACAAGTGCAAACATGAATTTTTAATAGCCAATAATTTTCAGAATGTGTTCAGCATGTTGTTTTATGCAGCATGACCTAAAATATATAGGAGGAAAAAGATGAGTTAATTATCACGAAGTGCTGTGCTGTTTTCTTCATCCTAGTCAGGCGATATTGTTTAGCCTGCTATTTCTAAAACTATAAACAGAATTGTGAAGGCAAATGGTTGACCTAGATTCAAGCAAAGTAAATGAAATCTCTATGCTTGAACCTATGGATTTTCATTTAAAAAAACAACTTTAGAACACTTGGAAGTGTATTGGAAGCTTATGAGTACTGAGTATTTTTACTAACCGGCAGTCTGTAATCTTCTATTTTCAGTCATATAAAATTAATGAAATGAGTTTCTGTATCTGCAAAGCCAACATGTTGTGTCACTGGTTCAAATTAAAGCTGACTTAGATGCAAAATACGCTGCACTATTTTCAGTAATTATTTAATAACTCGCCTATTAGGAAAGTACTTATCTATGGAAGTAGGAGGGCTTTTAATGTTCTTTTCTGTCAGGGTGAAACTTAAGATGTAGTCTACGCAGGAGATCACCTGGCAGCATAAATTATGGTTTTAGCTCATATCTTTGATGAAAACACAACCACATTTCTGTTAAGAAACGTGCATCTTACTGCTGTCCAGCTAATACCTCTGGGGAAGGATTTACAACTGTTCTTCCTAAGGAAAACAAAAGTCTTCCTCCCCAGGATAACTTTTTTTTTTCTTCATCATTTTGTAATAACTACTCTTTAACTTACTGTGATGAAGATAACCTTTTATTTCTGGATGTCAGAAGGCCCTTTGTTACTATGCCAAAAATAGACTTGGATAAGGACTAGTTCATCAGTTCAGTAATAACACTTTCTGCACAAAACCAGTTGTACAGTTTAATCTCTTCTTCTTCCTCCTGTATTCAGAGTTATATACAGTTAAATAGACAAGTGTAAATGCAGTGATAGCAGCAAAACAACTTCTGTCAATTGGTGATGTTTTATACTGTTTTCAGTAGGAACAGTCATTGAGGCTCAGACTACGAGCAACATCTTGGTTGATAAAACATGCGTGCTAGTGAAAATGCTGTATGTCCAGGATTAAATCGGTTTTCACTTGAACTGAGGGCTGTCAGAAATACACAATCCTGATATTATTTGAATCTGAACATTTTGGTTTTTAAGAAATGTCAAAAACAAAGCAATAATAGTCCCTCAAGACTATCAAAGGAACAGGAAGTTGACAGATGAAAGTTCTTGGAGAGAGGAGAACCCTGAGAAAAGTTACCAACTCTTCATTTTAAATAGTCACATTAAAAATTCTCAAAACCAAGAAATCCAGCTGTGATATCAGAAGTCTGAACTTTGCAGGTCAACTGGTCAAATAGAGTTGAATGTTGAAGCTGAGATTATATTATTCTTCTTGGATTAAGAAAACTGTGACTTTAGAATGGTTGGTGGTTTGCTTTTTTTTTTCACTTTTTGTGGGAGACAGCTCATTTGTATCAAGATTATACTCTTGCACTTTCAAAGTAGTCAAGCTAGTTCATGGAGACTTTGTCCATTCATGGTAGAGCCATGTCGTCTTGTCCAGCTCTTATCCTTGGTAGTTTAAGACTGAAGCACAGTCATTTTATCAAAAATACTATAAAAATAGTTAACTGCTAAATTCCTTTCTATGTGCTTTCTTTGTTTCTATTTATTAAGTTTTATTAATGCATTTCTAGTTTGTTTTGAGTTCTTGTTTGCTCAAGTGTTCTGTAGTAAGGTTAAAACCTGCCAGTTCTTTTGTGTAAGACAGCAGGATTTGATTCCCTTCTGGATGAAATGCAGAAGTTTGAAATGGATCCTAAGGTTTTACAATAAAAGCATTATGAGAGAATTGCTGTCATCCATATTTAGTAAGTTTAAACAACAGATAAAAAGCCTTTAACATGGTCAATTGGAAAATGTTTTTTAAATACTTCCCATTTTAAGATGGGATGCCACTACTGAGTGTAACAAAGCTGCGTTATCTAATCTCTGTTTTTAATGCTTTTGCAGCCAGAGTTGGGAAGACATCACTAATTATGTCTCTTGTCAGTGAAGAATTTCCAGAAGAGGTAGAGCATCCTTATTTGTTTTCTAAATTTTATATCTATCCTGTTGTATAATTTTTTTAAAGAGTAAGTTAATAAGCTCTGCTTTAACATAATGTTTCCTATTCAGGAAAAAAAAAAAGTCTAAAACTAATTATGACTTCTGAAAGCGTGAGGTAGGTTAGATATATCTCTGTGTGAAGATTAGGAATTTAAATTTTCTCGAAGTTCCTTTGCTGTTTTTCACATGATTAATTAAACTAATTTTTTTGATATCTGAGAAATGTTAGTTTTTTTAAGCAGTTGAAACTGGTCATAACTGGCAGCATATTTCAACATCAGAGACTCATAAATGGGAAGGTGCTGAAAGAGGCAAGACCCTCCAATTTTTTTTTCAAAAGTTGTAGTTAAGAACTACAGTAGAACAAGTAGATTGCAAAATGAATGAGGAATTAAAAAGTCACATTGTATAACTTATAATTGGCCATTTTTTGTAACTGAGACATTGCCTTTACTTACATTTTTGAAGACTGTTTTACTGACTATTCTGAAGTAAAAAAAAAAGCTGAAAAATCTGCCTTCTTCCAACGTGAGAGTAAAGCTACTTCTACATTTTATTCCTTTAAAAGCAGCGCATATTCTTTATACCATGAAAAGAACTGCAGCTGCTGCAAATAGTTAAGCTTTTTACATATAAACATGAATGTTTATTTCTTCTGATCACAAGTCTTAAAATAGACATCATGTGCTCTTCTTTGAATCTACACTGCGCTGTGTTTAATGCAAATCAGTAGGTTACCACGGTTCATGATTCAAGATTAGATTGTTAACATAATTGAATTTAGTTCCCAACCTTGCAGGTATCACTTTCTGTTTGTTCTTAAACTGCTCGGGGACCCATTCCTTTGGCAGGTTGTTTGTTGATGTATTTAATGAATTGTAGGCCTCTTCACTTCTCAGCTTCTTCCTGCAGTATAATCTAGAATATTTCTCTAAATTCTTGTTCAGAGAAAAAACATCGTTTATGTATGACACAAAATCTGCCTGAAATTACAGAAATAACTTTCCAAAAAATACTGCGTCCTATATAAACTGCTGAAAGAGATATGTACAATTCCTGCAGGTAGGTTGTGCAGAGCAGAACTATATGCGTCTGTGTGACAGACATTTCAGATTTGAAAATAGTGTTTAATATACTGGGTATTATCAGTAATCATTCTTGATGAAGATGTAAGTAGAACCTGAAGCTTTTACAAAAGAGCCATTCTTCTTTTTTTTTTTTTTTTTTTTTTTTTTTTACTAAAAGAAAGCAAAAGTATTATGAAGTTTCAGTGCCAGCAGGTAAAAGGCAATAAATAGCTGTGCAGGAAGTTTTCATTAAAATCATGTTTAAGTTGATTCTTCCTGAATATGGGTTAGTGTTCTTTGGAAAAAATGGCTGGCGATGATAGCTAGTTTACAGTATTTTGCAGAACACAGTTTTTATTGGTATCATGCTTTGCAAGCTTTTCTGAACTTAATGTTTAGCACTCTGTCAGAAGCAGGAAAGTTGTCAGGTTATGATTTTGTAAAAATTGAGACTTGTATTTTGTCTGTCATGCTTGTTTGCCTTGAATATTTTTTTTTAACAACTCGTGCACTGTTCACAGGAGTAGTTCTTATCTTGATCCTACTCCCGCTGAAATCAGTATATCTTGTGCAAAAATTAAAACATTTAAACATAGGTTAAATAATATTCAATTTGTCACTAATGGCATTCTAACTCTGATGTTACTCTCCTGCTAAAGAATGTGTAGCCTCTGATCTAATTGATTGAATTTGGTAACTCCCCACATCTTAGGCCTTTTATTTATATGATATTTTTCTTTAAAGTAAATTGCCATTCAGGTTTTGTTTATAGTTTTCACTATTATAGCAGTTCTGTATAGATGGTTGGATATAGTGAATTTGAGTTCTGTAAAAGCATCCTTTGAATCACTTGACAACATTGCTTTCTTGCAAAGCATGCAGGAAGTTCCTTAGTAAGTAGACTCATAAAGACAGAAAGTAGCAGTGATTTTTTTCAAAAAACGCAGAAGTACTTGAACTACTAGTAAGTTGTTCTATTTAAAGCTGACTAATAGGTATATTATAGTATATGGCTCTTTTTTACCGTCTGGATTTTCTGGATTGTCTTTAAAGGCTTTTTCTTGCTGTTTCTTTACAACCCAAGGTTCCACCGCGAGCTGAAGAAATCACCATTCCAGCTGATGTCACCCCCGAAAGAGTGCCAACCCACATAGTGGATTATTCAGGTAAGGACTACACGATACCATTATTGTTTGACGGATTTGGTACGGACTGTTCTATCTCACTCAATGGCCTCTTTAACAGCCATACAGGTATGGGACCAAAGCTACATGTAGGAAAAGACTAGATTAAAGTAGAAACTCCTGGAATAAAACTAATTCAGATGATGATGATGGCTGGTCCTGCTAATTCAAAGCCTAACGTTAACTGCTGTTGGTACTTCTATGAAAGGCAATTGTAGCAGTATTCCAGTGAAGTTGGTGTTCTTTGAGTGACAGACATATTTACAGGTTCAGACAAAAGTAGGTACTTTCATGGAATTTAGAACTACTTTTTCTTTTTTCCAGTGAAGAATTTATTGAGATTCAGGAGACTTTATGTACCTTATATTCTGTGTTTTTCTGAATTTTTAAGTTGGACACCTTATCCTTTTGTGTCAGTTTCATATTTTGTATTTTTCTTCTTTGATATATTCTCATCTCCTTGACCTTACTGAATAGGTAAATAGGCTCAGTATCAAGGTTCATATATTGTTGTAAACATACGTGTAACTGTTGCACAGCTAGAAAAATCCTTCCACCGTTTATAATGGAGGCCAAGAATTAGGCCATGTTAGTAGATACCATCCTGTCTTCTCTCTCCCACCACTGCTGAGGAAGTATCTGGTGTGTTTACTTATTTGGAACAAATAAATAATGTGTATTTTTTTCTGTTGGACTTGAGCTTTTGGGTTTTGTTTGAGTTTTTCTTTCTATTGGATTAAATGTTTCATAGATTTGGTTAACAGAAGCTTGGTCTCACAAAAAAAAAAATCATTGACGCTGCAGTAAAATTAATGTATGCCATATTCTGTTGCAAAAATTTATGTTATAGAACAGTGTTGCTACTTATTATCCCAGGAAGGGGCTGCTGATAAATGTAGAGGAATACAAACTGTGACTCATTCCAGAGAGAACCTGTCTACAAACATAATTATTCCTCTTTGAGATAGCTGCTAAAAACCTTGTGTACAAGAGACTGTCTTGCGAGTTAATGGATCAATTTCATTATTGTTACAGCAGAAGCACTCTTCAGTGCATTTTATGAAAAGATGTTTAAATAACAAGGCTGTCTGACAAGCAATGTGAAATATTCTAGTTCGGTTTCATAAGTTTTTTTCAGTTTTCTTTGCAAAAATGTTTAATATTAATGAATGGCTTATTCTGTTGAATGCAGAAGCAGAACAAAGCGATGAGCAGCTTTACCATGAAATATCACAGGTAAGTGTACTTCAGTGTTTACTAGAAAATAGTTTTGCTTTTGGAGAAATCTTTCCTTTTAAATTCTCTTCATTAGATGGGCTCCAGTTTGGATTGAAGAAAAATCCCGTCTCTTGCTGCTTCTTCCTTGGCATTTCTTCTTGTTTTGTGCCCTGTGCTATAGTAAACCTTCCGCTATTTAAGAAGAGTAGGTACCACCACTGTTGGTAAATTGAGCTTAAGCTTTGTCCTTCCAAGTGAAAGGACAGAACCTAAATATCTGTTAATCAGTAGGCCAAGGGATTGACAGTTTTTGTAAAGAAGTAATCCTACCCTGGAAAGATCCATCTTGATTCTTTCTGTTATGAATAGCATGGGATTCTTGGTAGTTTTATAATTTCTTCTACTTCCTATTTTCAGTTCTTTCTGAGCACCTCTGCACATCTTCTGTACAGTCTGTCACGGTGTTATGTTCCATTTCTGGCATTTGGTTTGGTACTTGAGTGGAGGCTGCAAATTATGATTCTTCAGTTTAGATTTCTTAGTAGCATAGGTCTATCTGCAGGCATAAGCTGTGAATGTCACACTGCAAGACAGGCTTTTTGGTACTTCTCAACATATAAAATTTTTGGCTTACGCTGTTGTTCATGCTACAAATAGCTTACACAAGTCGGGGACACAGTTTTTTTGCCCAATGGTAGAACAGTTCTCACTCTGATGTTGTAACGTGTGGTTCTTAACTGTCTCTGTTGCTCTAGAGACTCTGAACAGTGCAACTCCATGCCTTTCCTTTTCTTTCATTTTAGGCAAATGTGATTTGTATAGTATATGCCGTTAACAACAAGAATTCTATTGATAAGGTATGGTAACACATTTTATCCGGTTATTGCTTGAGATGTAACTTGCACACTGTTAATTTTTGGCAGGCTGGAAACAGTATTGGGCATTTAAAACGCATAAGGTGGTTTTTGAGATCAAGTTGTTAAGAGAACGTCCAGATGTATTATTGCTTCTGGTCCATTTCAACATCTGAGTTGTCAGATAACCGAAATCACTGAAAAGGTTGCTTATTAATCAGCTCCAGTTTTTATTTATTTCCTCCTTTGTGGGTAAATGTGTGTGCCTTGGGAAAGAAGCAGCAGCAGTTGTAGTTGAACTTCTGCACAGTTCAGCCATTAAATTTGAAAATGTATTTTTCATGTTTGTTTTTAATCCCACTTTAGGTAACAAGTCGATGGATTCCTCTCATCAATGAAAGGACAGACAAAGATAGCAGGTGCATAAGTAAAGATGAGAAGTGTGAATTAGGCTGCACATCGATGGGTGTCAATGGACAGTGTTGAGGATGTTAATTGTTTAAGAAAATCAAATTCTAAACCTAAAGTTTATGTAAGAAGTCCCAAGCAACAAGAGATTTAAAGTATGTAGGTCTGTTACATATGCCAGCAATGCTATTTATTTTGAATTTCATGGGCAGCTTTTACCAGGTGTGTTTATATTTGTTATGGTATAACTTGGTTTGGCTACATGGTCTGTATAGCTTTTCTGCTGAGACTGGTTTTGTATAATAACAACATGATTAGTTACTTGTATATTTAACTGTGTGGTTTTTGTAGTATCAGCAAGTACATTTTTGTGTAAGTGTTTATCAAAACAATTTACTTAAAACTGCTATAATTTAGTTTTGTCTGTTGGCTGCCAGTGATATTTCATTACATCACAAAAAATAATGATTTCTGGTGGGAGGTAGAATGCTAAATAAGATAGATCTTTTATCCCTCTGTCTTTAAAGGTCTTAACCTTTTTTTGTTTTCAGGCTGCCTCTTATATTAGTTGGAAACAAGTCTGATCTAGTGGAATATAGCAGTATGGAAACTATCCTTCCCATTATGAATCAATATACAGAGATAGAAACATGTGTAGAGGTATGCAAGATTTTCTGAAGTTAGAATGAGTAACAAAAAATACATTCTTGCCAAGCATGTATGGCAACTTTTTAACAGAAAAGGTGATTATTTTTTTTTCCAAAATCTTTCAAATATAAGTTATTATCATGGTAAGTTTATGTTATTTTTCTTTAGAGAAGATTACACTATTGTATAATCAAATGTTATTTTCAAATTCTTCTAATATATAGAGCCTCCTCACACCCTTTCTTTAGCAAATGTTTTAATATTATGCCAAACAGATGTCTGCAAAGGATTAAAAATGGAATTAATATCTGTGGATTTTTGTTCTTTAAAGTAGATAAAACTTTTTGATTTCCATTCTTGGTATGACAGCAACCTGTAGTGAGACTTCCTTTCTCAATTACTGAACAGGTACAGGGGCTAGATGTCTTTTTTTCCGAAACAGCACTGTACCCACAAGAGGGGGCTAGATCTTTAAAAGTTTAATGCTTGCTTAAATTTCAGAAGAATTCACCAAATAGTCAAGAAACTACCTAATCAATATAAGGATTTCTCTTTCAGTGTTCAGCCAAAAACTTGAAGAATATATCTGAGCTATTTTATTATGCACAGAAAGCTGTTCTACATCCTACAGGTCCTCTTTATTGCCCAGAGGAGAAAGAGGTATTTATACATAGATTCTAAGATCAAATAATAGGGGAGGGGAGTTAATCACTTTCCTGTTCTTTCCTTTTCAGTGGATTTTTATATTTCTTAGTGTGTTCTGTTACCGCCACCCTAGGCTCAAATGTGAAGCATTAGATTCCAGAACCATGGTGATTGTTTTGTGTTGTTCTAATCCAGTCTGTCTTTCCCCTTCATTCAATGCAATGAAGACAGTTTTTTGTTGCCCATGTGAACTGCTAAGTAAAATGAGAAGCTTTGGGAATGGCTTTAAGCCAAATGTAATGTGAATAAAATCATGTGTTCAATTCCGTTCTCCTTTAGATGTACATTTCAGAGTAACTTCATTTATTTCAGGGAAAATGCTCCAGACTTGGCCTGATTTAAGGGAAAGAACTTTTGTGGGCATATCATGAGACTTTGGCAGAAGGGATAAAAAACAAGTGAAGTGGCTGATGTTTAAGTATCCCAGGTAGTTAGCTGAGAATTTTATGAAGGAGAGTTTTGGTGGTGTTTTTTTTTTTAAACCCATTAATTTAATGGGAAAATACAAATAAAATCTTAAAACATAACCCCCATGTAGTATTGGGCAGTAGGAAAGTTGCTTCAATCATAAATGTTAAGTAGAGAATCAGAGAATAACCCTGTTTTGATTTCTTCCATCAGAATCATCTTTATGAGTTAGTAATGTTGTGATAAAATTGTTGTGATGAAATCTTTTGAGTTTTCCAAAACCAATCTCTATGCAATCTGACTTCTGTGAAGAGAAGAGTCCATCATCACTGTAGTTGTTGGGAGAGAATTACCAGTGTGTCTCTTCCTTCACTCGGAAGGTATCCTAGCAATTCTTTTGTCATAGAGATAGTCCATATGATCAATGCTTTGCCTGGTAGATTAATGAGTCCTGTGAAGATTTTCAGTATTTGATGTTTGAAGCCTTCTGAAGCCATAATTGCAATGGTGCATAGAGATAGTGTGCTTGTTTAGAAAGAGTTGACTGTAGTTCTAGAGCCATTTATTTTTGCACCAAACTGGGATTGCAGGGCCACTTTTTTTTTTCCCCTACCAAAAAAATGTTTGGGGGGGGAAAAAAAAATCAGTTGCTTTTTAGAGCTTTCTGTAGCAGTAAGACTGAACTTAGAGAACTGATTTTTTTAATTTTTTTTTTTTAATACCTTAAGTAATCCCATTTTCCACTTGTGAAGAACTTGAGGCTCTTCTATTAATTGAATAGAAAATTATTTAATGTGGAATAATTGCTTTAGAGTTATGGATATAAATTTGCTAGATCAAGATTCTGTCTTCTCTTGTTCTTTGTTTTTGTATATGTGTGTATGAATGTCTCTGTTCTAAAAATGTAAAATGAAGGCTAGTATTTGTTTTAATGTGATTGAGCTGACTGATGTCATTCAGTGTAATCTTTTTATATTCAGGCCTAGAAAGATGCTGAACTTTCTTTTATTCCTTAGATGAAACCTGCCTGTATTAAAGCACTCACTCGCATTTTCAGAATTTCTGACCAGGATAACGATGGTACTCTCAATGATGCAGAGCTCAACTTCTTTCAGGTAACTCTTGCTTATCTTTTCACCATGTTTAATAGTTGAACTATAATTCTAGGAAAAAGAAGTTATTGTTTTTGATGGAACTGTAGTAAGGTCAATTGAAAGGGAACGGGGTCTAAATATTGAAAGTCTCAAGTGCAGCATAAAAATAGATCCATAAAAACAAATGATATTAATTTTATTTCTAACCATTATTCAAGTTCTATTTCAAGAGCAAAATTTAAAAAAAAATAAAAATTTACATGTGGAAGCCCCAATACTCGTATTTAAAAATAAAATAAAGTTTGTACACCTTTATTTCCACTAAGAAATTGCATTGTCCTTTACTGGCTTATCAGAATTTTTAAGGCTGCATTTCATACAGGACATGCTGTTTGTCCAGATTAGTAGCCAGTGGTCCTAATGTGTTCTTTTTGGTTTTTGTTAGAGAATTTGTTTTAATACACCACTGGCACCTCAAGCTTTGGAAGATGTAAAGAATGTAGTCAGGAAAAACCTAAGTGATGGAGTTGCAGATAATGGATTAACATTAAAAGGTAAGCCTTGTTTAACTCTTAAAAGACTTGTCTTTATACAGTTGATAATCCTTCTTACATAAATAAGCTGGTCTTTTGGAATATGATCTCTGTCTTGATTCTTTTAGAGTAAAAGAGCTGGGTGTAGTGGCAGTATGATATCAAAGGATGATTAAAATGGGGAATATTAGGTTGAATAAGGTCTGTCTTCTTGTTACAGAGCTTGGAATCTAAATAAGTAAACTGATTGAAAAGAGATTGTCTTCTAGATAAATCTGCATCTTGTCTCTAGGCTCCCTGTCTGCAACACTTGTCAGCAAGGTGTGGCGTCTGTCAGCATTTTAACAGCTATGTTGTACATACTTGCTCAGGGCATATGGCAAAAATGGAAGAAGAAAATTTTTTTTCTTTCTGAGCATCAGTATAACTGCTTTGGTTGTGAAGCTTACATAGGGCTCGTGAGAAATTGTAAGGAGTGGCATCACCTTACTAAACAGAGAAATCTCAGTGTTCATTAAGCCCTGGAAAGCGCTAAACACAAATCCTACCATTACTTTGGTACAGGAAAACTAAAGGCAGTCTTCATGAGACTACTTTGCAGGCTTCTTGCTAAGGTTTACTGTTTTGGATTGTTGAAAATATTGTTGTCTTTATTTTCATACAGCTAAGTGCTTCTAAAATGCTAGTACTGAAAGAAGCAAACAACAGAGAACCAAGTGGGTTGTTTTAAGGAAACAATTCTTTGAAGCACACTTTTACAAATAACATGATTTCTGAACCCTCAGTCTGGGTAGATAATGCTGTAATGTCACCCAGGAGGTTTAAAATCTCTGAATGTGTATTTCAAGCTTTTTTGTTTTCACTCTGATTCTATTAAAAATACTTGTAGCAGATAAAGCATTTCAGGGCCCTAAGATGTCGTCATTTGATTTTTAGGTTTTCTTTTTCTACACACACTTTTCATTCAGCGAGGAAGACATGAAACAACTTGGACAGTTTTACGTCGATTTGGATATGACGATGACTTAGAGCTTACGCCAGAGTACCTGTTTCCTCCGTATGTATCACTTATTTGAGCTTTTTTAACTTACATTTAATTTATGTTGCTTCCTACTTTAGCAGGAGGAAAGGGTTATCATAGTGTGTTTATTTAACACATCGTTACATCAGGTATCTCCCTTACTTTATGGCCTACCAGCCAAAAAATTACAAAGGAAGAACTGTCTCTTGTGCCAAACCATATACTGCTGTCTCTCTGTACAAGAAAGATGACAAGAAGAGACACTTAATACATAACTGGAACATGAGTTTGAGCAGCTGCTTATTGTATGTGGCAACGAATTAAAAAAGGCTTGTCAGTATCTTCATAGCACTTGAGAACCTTTGTAAATGCCCAAGTGAAAAAGTTGAGATCAACCAACTCTGTCTTTTCAAAAATGTAAATGCATAATTTTCCATTAAGCCACAAAAAATCCCACAAAAAAACAAACAAAAACCCTCCCAAATCTCTGATTACTTTCTATCTATATAACATGTAATATAAAGACACTCCTAATAAAAAGTATGTGCTTTGATCTCTTTAAAGATAAATTACTAAAACTAGATGCAAAGGTCAAATACAGACTTTATGTATTACAACATTTAGTATTTTGAGTTTTAATTTTCTGTATTTCATAAACACACTTAACACTTCTTGTATTTGTTTTCAATAAACAGGCTAAAAATTCCTCCAGACTGCACAACAGAACTAAATCATCATGCATACTTGTTTCTTCAAAGTATTTTTGATAAACATGATTTGGTAAGCTTTTAATTTGAGTGTGTGTCCCCTTATACTTAAGAGCCTTAGTTTGCTAGCAGTTTTGCTAGCAAAAAGTGTGGTTATGTCATTTTATTCAGAAACTGGTTCTGGCTAAGCTATGCGGTCAAAACTAGCCTGCTGCTTATACTTCCATCTACAAGGAGAGTTGGCAGGTACAGTCGTACTACCAGATTTTTTTTTAACTAGCTCATATATTTAGTAATTTAAAAACAAGAAAAGAACAAGATTAAAAAGAGCAGCTCAGTTTCTTAGAGCCAGTTTCTTGAATCTTTCAAGCGCACAGCAAGAAAATATCAATTTGGAACAGATATGAATTCAGAGATTTATGTCTCTCATCATATGCTTGTTTTCAGGATAGAGATTGTGCTTTGTCTCCTGATGAGCTGAAAGATTTGTTCAAAGTCTTCCCTTATATGCCATGGGGACCTGATGTTAACAACACTGTTTGTACAAATGAAAGGGGGTGGATTACATACCAAGGGTTTCTTTCTCAGTGGACGTAAGTATGACACGTAACAATTTACTAGATGAGAACTTTGGGTATGATAATGTGTTTGTAGTTTCATCTTAAAAACCTAGTAGAAAGAGTGGAGGTTTAATAATTCAAATTGACCTAAGCAGTCATGTTTTTGTAGCCATCCTGTGGCCTAATCTTCAGACAGTCATTATCACCTGTTCAGGATTTGGCCCGTATTTAGTGCTAACTATGAAGAAGTGTCTCTTCAAACTGTGGAAATCACCCTGAAACTTGTCAAAATACTTATTTCTGTTGTTCTCTTTAGAGATGGTAGGTATAACGATGTTTGATAATGAGTATTTATTTCCTAACGAAAATACAGAAAATTAGGAAAACATTTTCTAAGTGTAGGTTGATAGGCCTTGGCAAGTACTGCCTTCAGAGTGTTTTGCTGACTGTTAAGACTGGTAAAGTTGCCACCATTTACCTTCAGAGTGCTTTGTCTTTCAGTACTATATAGTGCCAGGAATACTTCTAGCATATCGATCTGGAGATAGGAAAAAATTGTTTCAGTACTGTAAGAATCGGTATCGCAGGTGCTAACAATTTAGAAAATTGTTTTTGTCCCTTCTGCTAGACTAACCACGTACTTAGATGTACAGCGTTGCCTGGAGTACCTGGGTTATTTGGGCTACTCGATACTTGCAGAACAAGAATCTCAAGCATCAGCTATTACAGGTAATAAAACGAAAAATTTGGTGTAACTTAGGAATTCAAATTTAGAAATCTGCTCAAGAATAAATTCTTTAGACAAAGGATCTGTCTCTTTTCACATACACTCTTTCTTACTTTCTGCTCAAGTCAAACCTTTGATTCAATATTTTTGATTGGTTTGTGTGCATTTTGGTGTAAGTGGAAAATTATTTCATGTTTTCACATACATACATACATGCATGTACATCTTGTGAAAAATATTTTTGTTTTTTCAAAAGTAACAAGAGATAAAAAGATAGACCTCCAGAAAAAACAGACTCAGAGAAATGTTTTCCGGTGCAATGTCGTTGGAATGAAAGGCTGTGGGAAAAGTGGAGTTCTTCAAGCTCTTCTTGGAAGAAATCTAATAGTAAGAAACCTTTTGCTTATATTCACCTAGATATGCTTTTGAGTTAAAGTTCAACAGCAAAACCAACTGATCTTAGAGCTTGGCTGATTATTGCTGAGTTTGGAGAGTTCTATAAGGGAATATGGAATTATTGGAAAAGGGGTTATTTTTTTTAGTTAGCATATAGACAAATGGCTATTACATGCAATAATTGTACATATTAGAGCTGTGCCTTTACTTGCAAAGTAAACCACAGGTTACTGTAATTTTCATTCATTAATAAATGGAGTAAAAGAGCTGTTCAAATCTAATTTAAAGGGGCAAGTTGCTGTGGGCTAACATGAACTTCTGCTTTTTCAGAGACAGAGGCAGATACGTGCAGAACACAAATCTTACTATGCCATTAATACAGTCTATGTATACGGACAGGAAAAATACTTGCTGGTAAGGTTGCCTCATTATTGTTTGCATATGACTGGTTAATCTTAGAATTCAGTGAATTATTCAGAGCCTTCTGCAAACAAATTTCAGTTTTAATTGTGCTTTCTTCCTAACTGTGGATTTCCCCCGCCCTTTTCCGGCTCAAATAACTTCTGGTTTTATATATTGCTAATACTTTAAACTGGACCTGTTCAGGACCTGTTATTTTTGAAACCTTGACCTAAATTGTACAGAACACAGTCCCCATTATGCTGCAGGGCATCAAATTATAACATATAATTAATTAGTAGCAAGCAATCTACCTATTCAGTACAGAAGAATCTGTCATGTAGGGCGATTTAGGATGGCTAAAGTTATTCTTCAGTGGGTGAAATAGATTATTTAAAGCTCATTCCATTCTGTGTTTTCTTTTATGATAATATGATACCTTCCTTTGTTTTTCAAGATCTAGTCCTGCGGTTTTCCTCTGTAGGATAAATGCCAGTTTCTGTGGGAATCTAAGACTGTGTTAACGTAAATGTAAATTTTATGCTGAGGTTGTGATTGCCTGCAGATGTGATGTTAACAGCTCACATATGCTGGTTGTATGGTAAATTCCTACTATTTCTTTAATTCTGCCTGTTGTCAGTCCATTAGTTCTAAGAATACATTAGAATGAGCCATAAAAATGATGAGAAAAAGTTATAAAATACCTTTAACCGTATAATGACAAAGCTTTTCTTCCTCTCGGACCATCTTTTTTTCCAGCTACATGATGTCAGTGACTCTGAATTTTTAACTGATGCTGAAACCATATGTGATGCTGTCTGCCTGGTATATGATGTCAGTAACCCTAAGTCCTTTGAGTACTGTGCCAGGATTTTTAAGGTTTGTATAGTTCATATAGACAAACCTTTACATTTATATCTTTACACTGGCAAAATATTCAGTGTCTGTTACTGGTCCTATACACAAGTTCTAGTGTTTAAAAGACATTTTATTTACAAGTGCTGGTTTATATATGGCTGATTCATTAAAAATGCAGTTTTGTTATTCATATAAAGCTAATGTCTCCTTGTCTATATAAAACGTTCTGCTTCTATCTGAAGCAGACTTCAGTGCAATGAATATATCTTAATGCTGTGGCAAACAGTTCAACTCAGGCTGTTCCAGGTTGAATGGATCATTTACTGTTTCTTTCACTTTTTTCTTTAAATTTGCAGCAGCACTTCATGGATAGCAGAATACCATGCTTAGTGGTAGCCGCAAAGTCTGACTTGCATGAAGTTAGACAGGAATATAGTATTTCTCCTGCTGAGTTCTGCAAAAAACACAAAATGCCTCCACCTCAAGCCTTTACTTGTAATACAGTTGACGTGCCGAGTAAGGATATCTTTGTTAAACTGACAACTATGGCAATGTATCCGTAAGTACTTGAACTGTTACATTTTCCATACTGCATGGGTCATGCACAACACCACTGCATGTCATTGTTAGCCACAAGGATGGAACTGCCTCACTGAGAATTAGCAACAGAGAGATATAAGTGACCTAAGCAGAATTACACATTATTTCAAATTGAGAAGTTGCTTTGTATCCAAATCTAAACCAGTGTCAGCTATTGTTGCTAAGGTATTTTTAAAAGAATACACTACTTCATCCAGCTCCTGATGCAAATTCCAGTGAATAAGTAGGGTTCTGTTCTGTTCTTACTGCGGATACATAATTCAATGTGTCAATATTCATATATTGGTATTTTTGAGACACTTTGATGGTTACAACACTCCTTTGAGAACGACAGTTCCCCATATGCACTGCTTGAAGCTTTTTTATTTTCAGGATGTTTATTACTAGGTGCTTCAGTTCATTAATCTGATAGATCTTAATGTTACTTAATAGAATTTCTATATAAATACCTTTTGGGCTTCAGACAGAAGATACTTAAGCTCATGTTCTTCTTCACTATACATCTCACTGTTGCTAAGCTCACTTTGCATCTCTTTTTGGTGGGTAGAGCTTTTAATATGGTGTTGAACTATGTAAATATTACAGCAGATGGAGTCTAGTATGACAGCTGACATTTGCTTTAAATTAAATGGAACTAATGTCACTTTCACCCAAAATAATAGGGGTTGTTTTTAATGTTTGAATTTATTGAATTAGATTTGTAAAGCTTTTGTTTCATTTTTGTTCTCTTGTATTTATTTTGTAGCGCTGGAATACTGGGAAACCACTAAAGTGTAGCACTGACCAAATGTCTTGTCATATTGATATTCTTGCTTCTCCCTTAGTTTTTCAAGCATGTGTTTTTGTTAGGGTGGGAAAGGTAGAGGTAACTGTCACTTTGTAAAGTGTGCATTCCAATAGTAGAAAATGTGGCTTACTTTCCTTTGAAAAAGGGGTGTTATCTATTGCTGTGCAGACATACTCGGAAGCCTTTAGATGCTTTCCTTACAAACTTAAATAAATTCAGCAAACATTTTCATTCATGTTTGTGCTTTGCTATTATGATGTATGTATGGTGGTAATACCAAAATGTCCAAGAAGTAGAACATCTAATCTTAAAATTCTGCACAGCTGTAGTTGTACCCTTGCTTCCCCAGTGTATTTTTTTTTTCTCCTCTCCTTACTCATTCAAATGTACCTTTTATTCCTAAATCTCTCTCGGTTGTGGCACAGTCCTAATGTGCACCTGATTTTATGAGCAAGATTTCAACTCCTGTCCTTCTGTGTGTTTTCGCAGCCATGCCCGGTTACGCTGTATGTGCGCCTGCAACAGGTGTACATTTTGCATCTGTCAGAACTTCCTCAACTCAGACTTGCTGCAATCTGTAAAGAACAAACTCTTCACTGCAGTTCTTAACAGGTCCTTAACTTTATTTACTAGGTACCAGGTGTGCTTTTAAAATAAAGTTTTTCTGAAAAAGCAATTGGTAACCTTATACTGCAGACTTTTCAGTCCATATCCACTAAGTAGGCAGATACTTTACTAATTGTCATGAAATTGTCAAGCTTTGTTTAACTTTAAGGTACTTTTGGTCTTTTGAGCTTAGTCCAGTGATTTCTTTGAAACGTTACCAATTTGGTAGTTGATTCAGGCACTTGGTGATTGCAAAAATGCTGTGGAGAAATGAGGACTGTTTTTAGGGAACTGGTAATGGACGTTAAGTAGTGTCTGTAAATCTGTGTAACGTGTCTCACTTGAGACGTTGTAGGTTTGTTTAGTATTGATTAGAGGTAGTGCCTCTTAGATACCAGTTACACAAATATATTCATAAAGGCACAGCTTGACTCTAGCAGCATCGTGTAATATATTACATGTTTATATTTGCTAGTTGTTTGATATTTGGGAATTCATAGAATTTCTCTGTGTGTATGTTATGCTTGGTTTGCACAAAGAGTGCATATTTTGTGTAAAAAAGCCTAGAGCTTTTAACATCCAATTTCTCTCTGAAGAAAACACAACACGTAAGAAGTGGTAAATGGTTTAACATTTGCAAACAATTTGGAAAAAGCAATTGGTAAAGAGAGATAACTGGTTTTCAGCATTGAAAACAGTGTTATACCTTGTCTTGTGTGTACTACAGGCAGTTTTTGACACACGTGATTTACTAACACCTCAGCACTTGTCATCTCACCCCAGCAAATGGGAGTTCAAACCGAACAATTTTGGTAGTATAGTGATTCCATCCTTTATAACCTTCTTGGAGGTGTATACCATAAATGTGATTCTTGGAGGCAACTTTGATAAATGTTTTTATTTAAAGGCCATGGTTAGAATATCCCGACGTGCTGCTGGTCCACGTATGTTACTACTTTTTACTGTTTTCAGATGTAGCTGTTCTAAATAAGAGCAGCTGTTTCCTTTAAATGCCAGTTACACACACAGGAGGCCTATTGATACGCCCACCTACAGTATTGAGCATCTTTGTGAAATACCACTTTAACCTAAAATAAAAGTGTTATTTTAGTGTTAACCACAGAGTGAGAGTTCAGGGAAGGGTGAAAAACTCATTAGCTTAGGAAGAGACTGTGGGAATGAGTGAGACTGTTCATGCTGCATCTCTTCTACAGCAGTTAGACAAAACAGCAATCTCTTTGCATATTGTCACTCAAAACTTCATTGAGCAGTCACTACTAGAAAATCTCAACCCTTTGTTATTGAGGCTGAAATCACCTCTATAAAGCATCCTCATTTTTTTTTTTTTGGAATGTTTTTGGGTTGTTACATTTAGCTGTCATGGCTTGTTTCTCTCTTGTATGGGCCTGTGGTTTTTTTGAGTCCTACATTAGCCATTGCACTTCATTCCTCTGAAATACCGTCAAGGACTCATGGTATTGAAACCTTCTCATGAGAAGTCTTGGGATGCTCTCATTCCACAACTTGTCACTAGACAGTGTGGAATAAGCATAGGAATCTACTACTGCCTAAAAAAAGTCTGTAATTCAAGGTAAGGAGAATTCCTCATAGACTTTTCCACTGACCCTACAGAAAGGAAAAATTATTTGTTAGAATCTCTTTATCTGTAGTCATTCAGTTACTAAGGTTTTGTTGCAGGTTTCCAGCATGCTCGCATCATCTTACCAACTCTCTTCCTAGTTAGCTCTTCAAGGCCATTTCCTTGCTGAACACATTGCCACAGTTTATTCACCATTCAGTACATGGACTGCTGTATAACTGCATATATAGTAGAGCGGAGATACCTGTGAACAAGAGGAAATAACTCCTAATTGTAGACTTAAAAGGGTAGAGGTGGTTTTCTTGTACAAAAATGTTAGCTCCTTAGATGCGTTTTGAATTATTTGTTATTGAATCAGAGAAAGCATTTGACTCAAGAAGGATTTTCTAATATAGTTAGTTTTATATAACTTATTTTGCCTTTACAAGTGCTTACCGTGAGGTCAGGTAGTTGGGCAAAAGTTAAGTAACTGATGGGTAAAGGAGGTTTCTTGAGGGTGTTTATTCTCCTGATCCCTTCCCATTCTGCATCTTTAGACAGTGGAAGTAGGTAAACTGAAATTTTTCAGATTGGACCCTTCCTGTATTATTTGTTGCTAAGTAACGCCTAAACACTGTTACCAAGGCAAACTGTAATACCACATTTGAATATTCCCACCTTAGTAATTAAAGGAAGAACATTGCCTTTGTGCAGCTGAAAAACCTGTTCATGCCCACCTTGAGTTTCTTGTCTACGGACAAACTTCAGAGTCTCTCCCAAGGGTCTGTAGCTATCAGGGAGGCAAGTTCAACAAATGTGGAAGTTCAGTTTGGAGAAGTTTTTCGTGTAGGAGTAGGATTGTTGGTTTGAACTACCCAGGATCACACTTTATTGGCTCTCTGAGGAAGAAGGCACTGCATTCAGAGCACTATAAATGCATGTATGAGACTCGTTACTATCCTGTAGTATTTTTATATTTTTAATTTGTTCTTTCCTTTAGGTGTTCATTTGTATTTGTCTGGCTGGCACTTAATCTCTTTTTACTACATTGTTTTACCTCTTTTTAAAAGCAAGATTTCTGCTTATGTCATTCTAATTCTTTCTTTAATGATGGGCTTGGCTTTTTGGCTTTTTTTTTTTTTAACTCCAGAGCATCAATTTTAAGTGTGCTTTTCTGCTTTCTTGGTTTTAAATCATTCACTTGTTGCCTTTTGCTTGTACAGTGGTGGCATTTTTCTTTCAGCTAAGTTCATTTCAAAATAAAATAATTCTAAATGCATGAAAATTGTGTTGTTCAGTGAGGGAGACTTCTCGGAGCTTGTTTTTGTTCAAAGTTTTTAAATATTGTGGAATAGAAGTGAAGTTCTACTTACATATAAAACATGGTTGTTTTAGGAATTATTTCTAAGATTTTTTTCTGTGAAAACCTTCCTTCCATAAAATTAATTTTAAGACAAGAGTTTCATTTTCCTGTGATAATGGGAAAGTTTTAAAGAGTATAACCTAGGATTTATTTTTCAGTATGTGCAGTGGACACAGATTATTTTTCAAAACTACAGTGTATTGCCATTAAATCTAATTGCCGAAATCTATCCCTATACTTAGGTGTCCCCCAAATTAGGACAATATTACAATATTTTACTTATCTATTTTCCCTCTTCTTTGACTATTTAATGCACCATACTGAGTAGAAATTTGCAAAGCTGTTGATTTCTTTCCAAATAGAATATATTGAATTGGCATTTTACATTTTTTTTTACATTTTTGTAGATAAGCTTTTCAGTTTAGATGACTAATGCATGGGGGGAAAATTCTAACTGCTAGAGTTGTTTTACATCCTAGGAAAGTATGTGCCTGAAGGGAAGCTGCAGTAGCTTGCGCTTGTTATGCGATGTTTTTGGAATTCAGTGGCTTATATTTTATTGTTAGAACCTATTTTCTGTCAGAGCAGGCTGCTGCCGCTTGCTGGCTGCATTAACTTGCTTATAATTTTGGTGTGAGTAGCCATGTGACTCGCCTGTTGGCCTCACCACCGTGCTTTTAAAATGCTTTTGTAATTAATGCAGGAATGGTTTTAAAGTCTTAAAGTTAAACCTTCCCAAACTTGGGATTCTTTTGCTGCTGACATGGGGAAAAGTGTCAGTCTTGGCCCATAACTCAGCAGTTTTCTGTGTGTAACCATGACAAGCATGCTCAGTTAACCTCTTGATAAGTGCATGTTGCAGACTTCTTGTGAGTTGTTAAAGCCTCCTAGAAGAGAGTGTACAGATTTCAAAGATCTTACTCAACAAGTCACAAGTTACTTAACTCACCATTAAGGGTAGTTGAATAAAAATCTGTCTTTTTTTCCCAAAACGTGCATTAAAATCTGAATTTGATGCCAAAGGCAAGATTTTTAGCTTTCTTCTATATGTGGAACTAATCGTATGATTAAATACACACTTCAATCCATTTGGGAAATCTGAAATCTTGTTACTAATAAGAGTTTCAAATACAGCTTCATTTATGGAGTCCTGATTACTACTCTGTGTGTGTGTATGTGCACATCCATATATATGTTTTACCCTCAGAGAGAATAGTTTTTCGAATTCAGAGTTACTCTGACTAGCAAGGCAATAATAATTTCTACCACTGGTGAAAATTAGTTTCATTAACACAGCCACACTGAAATAAAATATGAACATTATCTATAGAAGAGGTAGAAATTTTCAGTATGTATTAGGAAATGTTTTTCTGCATCATAGCCACTTTATGTCAGAGAACCTGTGCTGGAAACATTGATTTTTTTTTTTATTAGTTCAGACAGATTTTTTTTTCCTTTAATGGCAGCTAAACAACATTAGGGATCAAAGTTGGAAAAATTGAATTTATGACAGAATAAAGAACATATAAGGAGGAAAAATTGGAGGTTTTTTTTCAAAGATGTAAAGCAATTAGGCATCCATAGTGTTCGGAATTTCAGTAAGTATTTTTTGACTTTGGATTTTTGGGCTGCAATGTTCAGAGGACCCTAATAATTTCTTATTGAAGTCAGTACATTTCCTTGAGGTTATAAGATAAATCCCTGCCTTGATTTAGTTCCTTTATTTAAATGAAAGAGCCTGTTACTGTTAGGCTTAGAAAAGGGATCAGAGTCAATTTACTCTCCCTTTAGACATGAAAAGAGGATTTTATCATGACTGAGAATATATGAATTGTTTTTAAAAGGATGAAGCATGCTCAGCAAGTTACTTGCATACCATTAAATACGGACATGTGCAAAAGTCAAAACAAGGCAAATTATAGCTAGGAATCAGAAAATCTAGATGTGAGAGTGCTTTATGAGGCAATGTAAAAGCATTCATTTGCAATTTAAACAGTGATTTGCACATTTAAAGGAATGTTTTTTAGATTATACAAATAGTTGGGCATTTGAATTAACCAAATTAAACTTGAGAGTTGTTATACAAATTCTCCCCCAACGGAGCTTGTCACATAATCTATTAAAACCATGTCACATACAAAGGATTTATTTTACATACACAAATTTTATAATTTAAAGATCTGAAGACAAGGAAGGGTTTATAGTCCTTTATTAAAAAACCCACCACATGTAGTGATAAAATACAGTCTTTAATTGAATTACCAGCAGTAATGAGATCTTGTCAGTTTTAGGGCTGATGTGTTGGAGCCATTCCAGTGCGTTTAGCACAGGTACTCTAGCTCGTGTGCATGGTGCAGGAGTATTGCAGAATCCTGTGGACATGTGAAAGTTGAGGCTTTGGGGATGGAGTGGGAAGAGAGTCAGTTTATTAAGCAGTTTTCTTTGCCCTTAAAGCAATGGCATTTAGCTACACAAAATCATATATTTTCCTTAGTTTATCAGAAGTACAAACTCACTTTTTTTTTTAAATTGTTTTTCTCCAAGCACTAAGTTTTTAACAACTGCACAAGAATCAGGGGCTAGATGGCTAAAAATTATAAATTCTCTGGGCTTTGTTATTTAAGCATATTTGAGATGCTGTTGTTGAGCCATGCTATGAACTGCAAACTGTGCATGTGTGTAAAAAGGTTAAGACCCTACATAGATGAGTTGGGGGCCATGCTGTTAGCAGACGAGGAGAGCAGTATTATGCAGCAGGTGCACGCCGTCAACTCTGTAGAAGATTCCATCTTCATGGAGTCATCTCTTGGTCCACGTTTACTTGAAGACAGGTAACGACAGCCAAACGAAGGTCATTGCCTTTCCCTTTCTTCCCCTCAGCAAACCACTTGACAGTTTGCAGAGTTTGTTGAAAGTAGCTGTAGAAGAACTAAGGCTTGCAGGAATTAATGAATTTGATCTGTTCCATAACCCAGCAAGATATTCTTAAATAAGATTAGGATTTTTTTAGAGACCAGCTGTGTTTTGCTGTTTGTGCACCAGAGAGCCTGTTCTTCAGCATGTGGTATGACAGTACACTGATGATCTGTGCAGCTTATGTTGCTCCTGCAAATGTCTACTAAAGGATATCCTAAACTGGTTTTGTGTATTCTGACAGCAAGTAACAATTCCTGCTTTATTAACAGCTTGTGTGCTGTAGCTCTGCAGTTCACACTATATGAACTCTTTTGGGCACCGTGTATGCTTAGGATCTCTGTATGCTCCTTGTACTTAATACTCCTGCAGCTTTTACTGAGTAACCCGTGATGTTTAATACAGGCTAAAATACTTAAGCTAGTGAAGTTCTGATGTAAGTTATATCTTAAAAGCAAACAAATAAACAAACCCTTTAATATTGTTTAGGAACTTCTTGTGCTTTGAATTATGGCATTTATGATAACTGATTTTAAATGGTAGCTCCTGCTTTATGGTAAGCTGTCATACTTGAGACTACTTTTGAGGATGGCTAGCCATGTTTAACTGAGCATGCTCACAGACTTCTTGCAGTATTTGGGAGAGTTGGGTCATTGGCTGTCTCTACTGTCATGCAAGATGTGGCTTTTTATGTCATACAGTCACTTCATACTGTTGTTACATCTTGTCTTTTTCTGTTGATGCCATCATCACTGCTTGATTCACTAGCACTTTCTCTTAGCTTTCAGCTTGGTTTTGGATGATTGTTTCTGTTGCTGTTCTTGTGAATGTACTGGGAAGAAAGGGATTTACAAATGGTCCTTCTTTTGATTCTAGCTTTTGGAAAAATATTACTCGCTACTTGTCAGTAAACTTTTTTTTTTTGGAAGTAAGTATAAGTAGATATTCAACAGGACTGGAAAGTTTTTCATGGAAAAAAAAACAGAAATCAACATTTTTAAAAAGCATTTTGCTGGACAGAGTTGTTCTCGCTATGGGTTATTAATTATTTGCTAGCTATTTTTGTTTTCCTTTTCTGAATGCTTGCTGGTACTCTCAAAGAAGACACACTGCCCTCCCCACCTTCGTGACTAATGATCTGCTCCTGCATTTCTCTCTGGCTGTGTGAGCTCTCTGACTTTTTAGTGAGATCTACTAATGTGATCAGGGCTTCAGATCAAATCCTAAGCTTTTAAGAAAAGTACAATGACTGTGTAAGTACTTGTAAGGCTGAATTGTAAGTTGCTTGCCTGTGACAAGTGTAGTGATGAATTTCCAAAAGCAGAGTAGTTTAGCACAAGTTGTCTGATATTCCTGTCATGGAATTAACCTGGTTTTGTATGTGTGTTGAATTTTAGGCATGTGACACAAGCGGACCTCAAGAGCTCTACATTTTGGCTCCGAGCAAGTTTTGGTGCTACTGTCTTTGCAGTTTTGGGTTTCGCTATGTACAAAGCGTTATTAAAGCAACGATGATCTGAGAAGAAACACATCTGGCCCTACCAAATAAACCCCCCACTTTTATGTACATTCTGAATGCTTTAAATTCTGCTAGAAATATTTATATATGCAGAGTTACTTTATTAATATTTGTAATTCATGCATAAGATTATTTTAAATTATAGCTCTAATTACAGTATTGCATAATGCGTGGAAAAAAGAATTGCATCCAAACAGCCAGCTAAAATGGCTTAACTTGTGAGGCCAAAAGGGAATTTGTTGTAAATAACCTGTACATATTAAAGCAGTAAGACATGGCTTCCCAAAAAGCTATTCAAAATAATGTTCTTAGATGTTTCACCATGGTGACATACTGGTGTATAGTTGAAATTAATTTTCAGTAGCATAGGTTCAACTCAAGAATCATACTTCCTCAAGGATTGGTTATTTATTTCACATCCATCCGAAGTGACTTCATCTTTTTGTACTATAATCTGTACCAGGCAGAATTTGTGATTTTCATTCTTACCTATTCTTTTTAAATGATGAACAAATTTCCCCACTAACTGTATTTCAAGAAAAAGCCACTGTTGCTGTCCCGGCCTATGATTTTGTATGTTACATGACCAGTGACATATATTAGCAGTCTGATTTTTTTTCTTTTAAAAGGAAAAATGTCAACTTCAAAAACTGCCAGATCATATGCTGTGTGTAATTTGTGGTTTTCATTTTCCACTATGTTGTGTTTTATAACCCTTATGAATCAGATGAGCAAATTTGTATATTATAAATGTTTATAATTCAAAAAAATGTTGTTTAATTTCTCACATCTGTCAATCATACCTGTTGAAAGCTGTGTATAAGATAAAACTGAAATAGTACACAGTGCCTATTCTACTGTAGTATATTAGTTGCATGGATCACAGTGCATTCTGTAACTGGCTAGAATTACCTATAGACACAGCTTTTTTAATGATCAAGTAAATCAAACATTAATTCTTCATGACAAACCTATTTTTCCATTGCTGGCCTTTTCAGGTATTTCAATAAAATGACTGTGTACTGTGTTTGTGTTTACTTCTTGAACTTGGTTTAAAAGCTTAGCTAAAATCTTCAAGTACTGGAAGGGACATTGCTTTAAAAAATATCTTTTGGCTAGGATCGTGATCACCTGGGCTCAGAACCATGAACAGAGGCAAGTTTTTTTACCTTCGCACTCCTTGGAGCTAACGGATTCCTTTCTGATGTTTGTTCAGGATGGGGCAGCTGGCAGTACTACAGAATAAGGTTATCATC